GAGAGAGAGAGAGAGAGAGAGAGAGAGAGAGAGAGAGAGAGAGAGAGAGAGCACGGATTCACGATGAGGATGGATCCACGATGAGCACCGAGCGCGAAAGCATGTATCCACGATGAGCGCCGAGCGCGAAAGCATGTATCCACGATGAGCACGAAAAGAACGGATCAACGATGAGCACCGAGCACCAAAGAAAAGCACGGATCCCCAAAGAGCACGAATCCGCGATGAGCACGAATCCACGATGAGCACGTATCCACGATGAGCACCGAGCACCAAAAGCACGGATCGACGATGAGTACGTGATCATGCACCAAAGAAAAGCACGGATCCACGATGAGGACGAAAAGCACGTATCCACGATGAGCACCAACCACCAAAAGCACGGATCGACGATGAGTGCGTGATCATGCACCAAAGAAAAGCATGGATCCACGATCAGCACGTGACGAAATGCACGGATCCACGATGAGCACCGAGCACCAAAGATGAGCAGCAAGTTCCCGACGAGCACAGCCAGAGAGAGAGAGAGAGAGAGAGAGAGAGAGAGAGAGAGAGAGAGAGAGAGAGAGAGAGAGAGAGAGAGCACGATGAGCACGTCACATGCCGTCGCATGCCGTCTCATGCCGTAGCGTGCCGTAGTGTGCCATCGTGTGCCGTAGCGAGCCATCACGTGCCGTAGCGGCCGAGACGATTGAGGAGCCCGCCCCTTAGAAGGGCGATTTCAGGGCTGGGCGCGGGCGCGCGTTCAGAAGGGACATTTGGGTGGGCCGAACCAGTATCGCACGGCCCAGATTGCGGGCCGGTCACCACCTGCGGACGGCCAGATCACAGGCCGATGAGAACAGTTTCTCATCGGCCTGCGATCTGGGCCGTCCGCAGGTGGTGACCGGCCCGCAACCTGGGCCGTGCGATATGACGTTAGCGGTTCTTGTAGTATTGTAGAATCTACAGACCTACCGGTAGGGATCGAGTCTTACACAGATCGCTGGGCTTAGGTACAGGGTAAAGGGCAGGTCTAGGGATCGAATCTCACTCAGCACACAGGGTCAATCTACACGGTACAGGGTAGGTCTAGGGATCAAATCTCACTCAGCACTCAGGGTCAATGTACAGGGTTTGGGCACAGGTCTAGGAATCGAATCTCTGTGTCTGCAAATTTCGAGTCTGCTGGGTGAAACCATTTCACCATTCAGATTAGAATGAAATGTATAGGCAAGTCAATGGTTTGCCACATGCTCAAGGACAGAAAAGAGTTGGAGAAACAAGTTCATGAACGCACACCTTGGCAACTTCCCGATTTAAACTCTTCACAGTCTGTACCAAAGCGCTTTTCTCCGCCGCCAGCTTCGACTGCTTGGCATCGATATAATGCCACAGAAAAGACAAATGCAAGAAATTCACAACAGTTACTGATCGATGAACTCAATGAAGTAGTTTCAGCAGTACTTTGCCATTGCTGAGTCAATGCTGCCATAGCACAACAATGAGAGCTTGTCATTTGACAGCAACCAAAAGCCTCCAAACAAGAACATGGTTGTTAACCAGACGTCCAGATCCCGACCCAGACAGTCCGGGTCTGGATGTCCGGGTCCGGTGTCTGGTTTGGGGCGACAGGATGGACCCATTTTGAAGAAATTCCGATTTTTTTTGGGGGGTCCCCAGGCGAGTTTTCGCATGCCTGGGGGACCCCCAAAAGTTATTCCCGTAGTTTTCTTTAGACCGCCGGGCCAACCGAACCGGCACTGAGAGGCTTGCACTTGCCAAAGTCCAGCGGGCATTAGGGCGGAGGTTCAGGGTATTAGCTGGCCACCGGCAAGAGGCGGCCATTGTCTAGTCCTCTGCAGCGGCTGCAACAACTGCAGCAGTCCGGTTCTGAAAAGAAAACAAAAAAAAACAAAACAAAAAAAAGTTCAAAAAACACAAACAAGTTTAACAAACAAAGAAAAAAGAAGAAGATAACACACACACACACACATACACACTGTTACATCTTCGACGCACACGGGTCCTATCGGACCCGACTTAAGGCCGGAGGGACACATTAGGGCCTAAAGGCCCGACCTTGGGGTATTACAGGCCCTCAGGGCCTGATCTTGGACCAGTACCCGACGGGCAGGCCCAAACGGCATTATCGTTTGGGCCTGGCGGCGCTCTTGAGGCTGCCGCCCGCCTGTTGGGGCTGAACCGTCCATCTGGACGGTTCAGGGCATGGCCAGGCCTCGCAGCATTGAGGCCGGCCTCTGCCCCAAAGGTATAAAGTACCGGTACAGCCTCACTTGGAGGCATCGAACCACCGGCACTCTACCGGTGCGTTATGGTCAGCGCCAGAGTGCTGTTTGATGCGCTAAGTTTAGCGCAGGAGCGAGCCAGGAGCAACAGCGGCAGCGCAGCATTAGCGAAGCGGCAAGCGGAGCAGCAGCAGGGCGACTGAGCCAGCACGGCGGCGATTGCCGCTTGAGGTACCTGGGAGCGGAGGACCTCTCCTCCCTCCCACGTCAGCTCTCTCTCTCTCCCTCGCTCTCTCTCCTCCTCCTCCTTCTTCTTCTTCTTCTTCTTCTTCTTCTTCTTCTTCTTCTTCTTCTTCTTCTTCAGACTAGAGACTTATACTAGTTGGACAGAGATCAGAGTTGGACTTCGGTGATATGAGACTGTGGTACTTACCTGATTGGAGACTTGGAGATTGTTGAGGTTGATACTCGGAAGCATCACAGTTGGACACCGGTAACATCTGGACTCTGTATCTCCGACATTGGTGACCTATGGGCCTCGACATTTTGATCTTGTTGTATGACATTTTGGACTACCATATCGGAGACCTATCAGACTCTATATATCGGTGTTGTCTACCTCCCCACCTCCTTCGTCTCTCCTCCCACCTTTCATCTGTGAATGTGTGTACGGGATCAGGGCATCGTCTATGAATGGCCCAGACCCCACCATCTCACGATTGTATGTATGTGGAGTGATGCTATGTGAGTCAGTCCGTTTATCAGACTTCCGTTGCATATATACTCATCCTACATTGGTTGATCTTTGGTTCTGCCCATACTCATTGAAGTATGCAACACACACACACACACACACACACACACACACACACACACACACACACACACACACACTGCTGTAGCTGCGGACACTGCTGCAGCTGCAGAAGCTTCTGTGCAAGGGTTTGATCCATACTTGCGGCGCATCTACGTGCGCTGCAAAGCTCACACACACCGCACTGCGAACAGCGCACGACGCGCGCGCACGGGGTGCGGCGCACCCCGAAAATAAGGGGTCGAGAAAAAAAAAAAGTTGGGGAGGGTTGTTTTAGACCCGAGTGAGATGTCACGTAATAAACCACAAAAAAATATTGACAAAAATTTGAGGCCGCGTGGGGCCTCCGAAAGAAAAAGGGGGAAGTTCGTTTTTTTGTTTGTGTGTGTGTGTGTGTGTGTGTGTGTGTGTGTGTTGTTTGTGTGTTGTTTGTGTGTTTGTGTGTGTGTGTGTGTGTGTGTGTGTGTGTGAGAGAGAGAGAGAGATGGTGGGAAGAGGGAGAGAGAAGTAGCGATGGTGGATGGTAGAAGGCGGGAGAAAGGCCGAAGGTGGGATGGTGGGAAGCGGCGGAAGAAGTCGGGAGGGGAGAGAGAAAGAGAGAGAGAGAGATGGCGGGAAGAGGGAGAGAGAAGTAGTGATGGTGGATGGTGGAAGGCGGGAGAAAGGTGGGATGGTGGGAAGCGCTGGAAGAAGTTGGGAGGGGGGGAGAGAGAGAGAGAGAGAGAGAGAGAGAGAGAGAGAGAGAGAGAGAGAGAGAGAGAGAGAGAGAGAGA